CTTCTAACTTTTTCCCTTCTTTTAGGCATTGCCGGTTATGCATAGCAGAATGTTCTACAATATTTTATTAATTTCGCTGCTTTGATTCATTACGGGGAGTGCAAATGTTTCACCTTAGTTAGCAGAAAAACAGAATGAATACCCAAAAATTCTTTTCTACCGTTACTTTCTGTGGAAAATTCCATCGCATAAAAGTCATGTTCAGTGTTACCGTTCTGCGACTAAAGTGTCAAATTGACAATTGAGACTTTTTAGAAATAGGCTTATTTTGAAACTTCTCTTAAAAATGATGCGACTTTTGCTCCTTTTCTTTGACTAAAAATTATATATAAACATTTTGACAGTTTTTTCATAAAATATTACTTTTCAAAGGTGCTTAAAAATTACATCTCTGGCAAGATTTTGACTAATTTTATTATGCAAAAATTTGTAGCTTAGCATTAACATGGGGATTATTTGTGTTAAATTCATTTTCGTGGAAATAATCGGCGATAATTTATATACAAGCTTAAAAGGCTAAAACTTGTTGTAATAATTGTTATCTACTAATGTTGCTTTTTTGTTATATTGATGTAATTACTTTTTTAACTGCAATTTTGTTTTCATAAAAAATGCAAAATATGCATGTGGCGCATTTTTAATATATTCCTCATCAATAGGTTTTAATTTCAAGAGAAGAAAAGATTTTTGGCAGAAAATGATCTCCATTAACAATTTATTAAAAATAATGGGTCAAACTCGTAGATGAAATAAATTCGAGTCTAATGCTACGTGCAGCTTTTTTGAAAGATTTCCCATTGAAAATTATGTCAAAAAGCTATAACTAGCCTAAGAGTTGATTTTATTTCGACTATGAATATGCCCCAACAAGTTTTGGCTGCGACACTTTTTACGACTTTCGAAAATTTTTCAGCGGTAACACTGATCATGTTTCGCTTTGTTTAATTTACAGCGAAGTTGAAGTCAGTCAATGAAGTGAAGTACATGAGTGAGGACGTACAATAAGATCTAAATACCTAAATACATTCATATGTATGTATAAAAACTGATTTATATAAATTTAATTTAATTTTAATCTTTTAAGACAATCTTTATTTTCTGTTTTAAATTTAATATACAAAAGTATGTACTTATCTAGGCATTCTACATTAGTTTCTCTGTAAGGCATTCTTTTTTCGTTTCTCTGGATTCTGTTTATCCATGCGTTCTCCCTTCATTAGAAGGTAATGATGCAGGTAAGGGCTTACGGCCAATGACATGCCCCTGTTAAAATAATGCCTTCTTGAAGCGAAAGGGTAAGCGATTCCCATCGCCTAATTCAGGCCTTCCCAAAGTGGGTGACGCGGCACCCTGGGGTTCCGCGAGCGTATGCCTGGGGTGCCGCTAGTGGCTAGAGTATACTAGTGGTGCGAACAAATTCTTTAGACTTTCCATACACAACGCAAGCGGTTTTGATCAAACTTCAACATGGCGGCCAGAAAATCAAAAAATTTAGATTTTATTATAATTACCTTCAGTGGCTCGTCAAACCCCATACACAACACAAATAGCTTGCAGCAAAGGGATATTTCGCTCTTAAGCGTAGTTCCCCAGTACGTTTTGTCAACGTAAAATTGAATCAGAAAATTTTCAGAAAAATAGCCGAAAACGTACCCTTTTCACCATCACTTTCGGTACTTTTGTAGACCTAATCCGCGTTTCATCCACTTTTCTTCCCGTTTTTTGGATTAATTTTCGGATTTTTTGCTGGCTGGGCTGTTCTCGTAACAAGCGCAGCAGCTTCGCGCACGTGTATATATTACTTATTCTTTGGAACTTCACAATCACACTGTCAAAGAGCGAATCAACACGATTTTAGAGGCAGTCTTCTCATGTCAGTGAGGTACCCATTCGCAATGCAAATCGAAGAAGAACGAAGTACTTCAGACTTACGCCACTAGCGACGAAATTTTTAAAGCTAACGACAAATTTGTACAGAGTTTTAAATGGAGAAAGTGTGCGGATATATGCGGTGGTTGGAAAAACGAAAGGAGCGATATCTAGGATGAAGCAAGAGGCAGAAAACGCCACGAGAAGTTACTGTATCATCCCTCGGTATTCCCTGGCGATTAGGAAGATGCCGACACTAGATTTAAAACCCTTATTGGATGACGCTGCGAAGATAACAGAGGCCTGCGAAATTAAAATACATCTCTGGTTTTTTCTAGCGCGTCGAGATTTTTTTTATTGGTGACATGTATATTTTAAAATTTCTAGCGATTTGCATGGAAACCCCATATATAAACAAAGTAATCAGAAAAGCGTATGTAACTTCCCAGTTAACATTAAGGAAAATTGATAACAGCCGGTTTCACCAGCAATTGCCATATAAAATTCCAAAAATTAAAATAATTTTTCACTTAAATTGCTTTCGTGAAATTGGCTGTAAAAATTATTTTCTTAGCGTCAACGCGCATTACCAGCGTTAACTTGGAAGGTTTAGAAAAACCATTGTCGAATATTTTCCCAACATGGACTCTGAGGATGGCTTCAGCTGGATAACAAACCCGTTTTCATGTGACCCGAAGCGTAATCCTACTGAGATGACCAATTAAGTTCTTGAAAACCTTCTGGACATCAGTGAAGACAGCACTTTGATTAGTAAATACTACGAAGGGAGCCAATAGAGTTCTGGATGCAAGTGTATGCAGAAAACCCTGCTGTTGGCAAGATTGTATTAAAAATACTAGTGGCTTTTATTTTGAGTTGCATTCGATTTTCGATCTTCGCTGGTTATCGGTTATCGAAAGGTAAATTATGAGCTATGCAACGGTGTCGAAATTTTCGTTGAGTATCGAATTTTCTGTCGAATAGAATTTTGCTTTCGATGGTGTAGCGAAGTGTTAGAAAATTATGAAAAATATATGATTTTACATTGTTTTTTTTTTTACTTTATGGCGGCTAGATACTAACTTTAAATTTTTTTTTTATTAATTTCATGCATTTCATGAATATTAAACACAAGCTCGAAAGGCTGGTTTTACTTGTGAAAGAAAATCCCAATACTCAGTTGGCACGATCTCTGAGAACAAAATCGTAAGCTGTTGATAGTTTTAAATTATTTTAAAAAGATTTGGCTCACAAACGCCTCTTTAGACAGTCGGAAGTATTTAATAAATCTGTAGACAAATTTCTTAAATATATTCGAAAGACTACACTTAAACCCTCTTAAACATTTTCTACTCCTAGCCAGTTTACCAAGCTCTCATCCTATGACGAATCGTTGAACCATAACTCCGTTTGAGTACCATTTTTACCACGTTTTTATAAACTCGCTTTCTTTTTTATTTCATTTTAATTTGCACAAATTTACATACATATGTATAAGCACACTATTTAGTTTGCTCAATTTGTAAACAAAACTTCTCAGCGGTGAAAAATATACTATTGTAAACAACCTAACCGAGCGAAATTCACAATAGCGCTATTCCTCATCGACCACAGTCGAATGCAACTTATAATAGGGGCCTTGCTTTTATATTTCTATGTGAGACTGCATTATAAACAAATACTTACATAAACGAGTCGTTTTTAAGCAAAAAAAAAACAAAACCGATTTCAATTCCCATCTAAGAATTTAAGTTTATCGTTAATCTATTCATGATCCAATGATCGGATTTAAACGAAATTAGACCACCTTTTAGGTAACACCTTTCCTTTAAAAAAGAATTATAGTAATCGGTTAACGTGGTCCAAAGTTATGCGGAAAATTACATATAAAAAATAACAAAAAAAATAGTCCGACGAATTGATAGCCTTATCCTTTATGTGAAGTCGGCTAAAAACAAATACACCAGCAAGCTTTCGGCGTCAAATGATTTCAGGGTAAAATTGTCAAAGCTCCCAATAAACTTAAAGGAAATAATGAAATCGTCAAAAAAATTTCAGTCCTCACATTAAAGCTAAAGGAGCATAAAGCTTGCATTGTGTTTTCTTGTTTTCGTAGACATTTGAAAAGTAGGGGTGCCGCGAATTTTTTTTAGCACAACAAGAGTGCCGAGGGGAAAAAAGTTTGGGAACCCTTGGCCTAATTCATTCGTACCTAAGCAAAAAGATCGCAGCGAAAATGCATTATTTGACTTTTCTGGACTGTATTATATTTTTTGTGTGTAGGAAAGTATATTTTGTTGCTTGTATTCTATGTGTAGACAAACTAGTCATTTTCTAAATATATGTCCATATGTTTGTACATATGTATGTTTTAATGTTTAATTTTATTGCCTTGACAGATAAGTATTAATGTTCAAAGATATTTGAACAGCCGGAGATCAACAGTATCCACAATTGAGTTGCAAGCTGAATTTCAAAGGCTACATTTTATTCGACTTGAAACAATTGAAAAAGTATTACATCATTTTATAATGCAAGGAAAGAATTGCCATTAATTACCTTCAATTGCCAAAATTTACGTGCTCACGTACAGGATCTTCAACAATAGCATCATCGTCGAATTTTATAATTCTTTCAGAGACTTGGCTGGATAATGAGAACACTTTACACATTGCTAATTTTGATATAGTATTTCAATTTAAATACCAATGACAAGAGCAGGTGGAGTTGTTATCTACCATATTACACATGGCTGAGTCCGTATTGTTACTAGAGTCCGACCGATTCCAGTTTTTTTTCAGGTACCGATGCCGATGCCGATTAATCGGCTTATGGGGAAAGAATCGGCCGATGCCGATTCCGTAAAAAATTACAAACAAATGTATTAATTCATAAAAACAGTTTATTTAACGTAGTTAACAAAACAAAAGAAACAAATAATTGAATTAATTGGCTTGTTATGCAATATTACATACACATGTGGGTGAGATTATTATGTACATATATCACATTTATGTACATTACATAAAACCCTTTTTTTATAGTGCTTAGCAAGAAATAGGAACATACAATTTCATTTCGGTTTGTACTCAAATACACTCTTGCACTCAATGCATAAGAATTTAAATGCTAGGCATGTACATACATATGTACGTCTTTAAATTAATAGTCAAAGTTGAATAATTTAATATTGTAATGCAAAAATAGAAGCTTATTGGCGTTTTCTCCGAGTAAATTGGTACGCCTATCGCTATAGAGCTGACCCGCAGCACTGAAAAGCTGTTCACTCGCAACGCTTGACGCCGGAGCTGACATATATTTGGTAGCTATTTTTTTCAAGAGAAAATATGGACTCTGATGCCAATATTCAAAAATATTACTATCCCGAGGAATACGTTGCTCATTAAGATAGGAATCAAGCTGTTTTTTTAATTGTGATATACCTTCTTTCACTTCAATACCTTGAGATAATATATCAGAATCGTGAGATTCCCAAAGATTGTTAGTGTGAATTGTTTCAGAGGAGCGAGTGGGAGAAACAGCTGGTAAAACTTCCAACGAATCTTTATTTGTATTTATTTGTTCTTTCAATAGAGTTTCACATCTACGAGTTTCTGCGGTTGAGAAATATTTTTGTTTAAAACGCGGGTCAAGTAGTGTGGAAATAAGCAACTCTGTATTTGTCTTAATAAATTCGAATCGCCGCGATAAAGACGTTTTTAAATTTACCTTTAGCATCGCAATTTCAGCACCGTCGTTATCATTAGATTCGAGCTTAATTTGAATCATGGAAATTAAAGGTATTATGACAGATGCACACGTAGACTCATAAGACAGATCAAGAGTTGCTTGGTAAAACGGCTTTAATACTGATATTACATTAGATATATCCGCCCATTCACTAACAGACAATATTTCTATAGAACCACGTTCTGCTATATATAAATTAATGGCAGCCTTCTGCTCGTATAATCTACTTAACATCAAATATGTACTATTCCATCTGCAAACAACCTCTTGTATTAGTGAATGATTAGGCAAACCAAGCGTTTCTTGGCATTTTTTTAAGTAGCGACATGCCTGCTCACTTCTCTTAAAATGTCCCACAATTTTTCGGCATTTGTGTGATATATCTTGAATATTTTTCCGGTTATAAATTGCGTCCTGAATCACAAGTTGCAAATTATGTGCCGTACACCCAAACCATTTAATATTACCCAACTTCATTGCTGCTCTCATATTTGCAGCATTGTCAGTTACCGCCAAATGAATTTTTGACCGAATGTTGTATTCTTCTATAACTTTGTTTAAATCAGCAAAAATATTTTGAGCGGTATGATCAGTTTCCAGAACGCTAGCTGCCAAAATAACTTTTAGCCTACGAGGCCCTTCTATGAAATGTGCTGTAAAACTGAGCAAGGAGCATGATTTGGTGGAGTTGCTCCAAATATCAGTTGTGAAACTGATCCATTCCGCATTTGCTATGAGATAAGTAACTTTGTGCTTTATCTTATCGTAGGTTGCTGGCATCAACGTAGTCCGGAAAAAACTTTTCGCTCTTTTTGCGATATCTGCTATCGCCGCTTGGATCACAAATGTTTAACCTATTAAACGCATTACCTTCAACTATATTGTAGGGCAGCATATCGACAATAATTAAATCCATTATGGATTTGTCGATTCGCAAGGTCACTGGATGATCGTCTGGGTAACAATATCCACTTTTCCTCTGGAGTAAGCTCGGCAGCGTTTCTTGGAGTGTGCTGGAAGTTGGATCCGTCTTTTTTTTGCTTTTTCACTCCTGCTAAAAATTCATCCTGCTCTTTAAGGTAAATTTTCCACTCATTTTTGTGAGCTGTCTGCAAATGTTTTTTGATGTTGGCTGTTGTTTGTCGCCTCTTATTTACGTTACCAAGAGATATTGCCTTTGAACATATTTCACACTTTGCTGTGCTCGAATTTCTTTGGAAAAACTTCCAAATAGGGTTTGCCTGAGCCATTATTCCTAAAAAACATAAAAGTTTGTAAGATTTAACTGATAATAAATTGCACTTAGTTACCAGGAATTACAAAAAGCGCGAATTTATGGCCAATATCTATTGAAAAATCAAACGTCAACATATATGTACATACGAAAAACAAAAGAGAATAATCAGAACAAAATGTGAGAAAGAAACACAACTTTTACAGGACAATTCAAATGAAAAATTTTTGAGACAAGATAAAGGGTATTCAACTGAAATAAAGTATAAAGTCCATATGAAAAGCAATTTCAAATAATCGGAAAAGAATCGGCAAAGAATCGGCAAAAAAGTGCCGATGCCGATGCTAAATTTTGTGCCGATACTTGCCGATGCCGATGCCGATTAATCGGTCGGACTCTAATTGTTACTCCTCAAATAGAACTCAATGCACAACAACTGCAATCAATCAGGCTGATTATGAACACAAACTCCCTGGGAGTTTTCTCTCTTTTCCCTTTCCTCCTATCATGAATAATGAGGACTTTTTATATTAAATGGCTTAGTTGAGCTCTCAAAAAAGTGTCAAACCGCTTCTTCGAAGTTCGAATTTCCCCTCCCAAGTTTTCGGGGTAAATTCTACTCCTGGTAGTTAATTATTGTAGGATTTATTTTCCGGGAGAAACAGATTCCCGGAGAAAAAACTCCTCGGGAGTATCAAAAATTGGGCTGAATGTCTGTTCAAATTTCTAAGGAGGGAGAAATATGTGCTTGTGAAAGCAGATTGGACCATGAGCGAACAGTTAAATTGAAAAATGTCCAGCAGTCGCACCGAATCGACAACACGATCAAAAACAAATATTCATAGTCTATTTCAAAGATATATTGATCACATCTCAACTCGTCTCTTTTGTTGAAATTTGAACATGAGTCTAAGTAAGAAAATTAAAAACTAAAAAATTTTAAAATTGAAAACGAAAAATTATAAGAATTTACCAATTGCGTAATAATATTATAACAAACAAACGCATTCATCTCATTCTCTCGTTTAATTTTATTAAGGTTTCACTTCTACCGGGTGTGCACTGCACTCGTGTTTTTTTTTTGTAGTAGTTTTTTATAGTTAACAAATCTGACATTTATTTGATCCAAATAATGATTAAGTATGGGAATAAAAATTGAGCAACGGAAAAAGGTTTCTGCGCTTCCGTCGTAATTTGCATGATATACTTGGCGTCCCTTTCGCCGTGGTACTTCTAAGATAAAACCAACCTAATTGGCTTTTTCCTCAGCTAATTTGAATATACTTTTAAAGTTTTCTTCTGTGTTTTTCCGCATATCGGCTAGTTCTGTATACACATTTTCGGTGTAATATTCAGTTCGATCTTGATGGTTTCTTATGTTCTATGTATGTATATCATTCAGCTTTTGTACGCATTTTAATAATTTTTATCAAACAATACTAACTTATTCACTGACGAAAAAAAACGTGCAATTTTGTGGTACAACAACATGGTTGGTGAAACCATAGTCCCTATGAGGTAAGGCAATTTACCTTTGAAATTTTTGGAATGTATGTAAGAGAGCAGTTTTTTTTACAAATAATGCCACTGAATCTTAGCAAAGCAAAATATTGTACTGATTATAAGCATTTAATATTATTCCCCTGCAAAATTCGCTGGAAAATGTTGTGCATTTGTGCTATATTGGAGTACTTAAAAACGTTCCTCTGTAATGCAGTAGCGGAGCAACTCGTGTCCCTACACCAGCTTATGTTACCCGATCATTGATCTTTGATTGTTGTAGCGATCGTAATCACTCCACGATGTTTATTCGGCTATGTTGCCGAGATGTAGAGGGATTACTCCATGGAGTTCTTTTGTGATACTCTAATATAATGCCGAGCTGGAGTATATGGTCCTGCCCTAGGACATCGTAATGTTAATAGCTAAACATTTTTTTAATATGCATTTCGGTTAATTTTGGAGTAGCCCTTACAAGCGTGCATGGAGTGGTCGATTTTTGTAAGGTCTCTAACGCTATACTTGCCTTAGCAACAGCGGAAAGTAGATTTCGGTCGACGCGAAGCGGGACGGGTATTTGTTAATTCATATGTATAATATATAAATAATAGGGAGTTTCTTAGAAAAAGTGGATGTTTCTCCGCCGAAATTATAAGGTATAATATATTTTACAGTTTCCGCCGAAATATTTTGGAAAATATTAAGATTTGCGTGAGCTGTACCGATTTGAAAATGCCTGCAACAATCTCATTATTTTGATTCCATTTATAAAATTTGTAAACATTTTTATGCCGAGCTTTTAAGCTCTTCCATCATCTGAGGTGATGTTTTGAAAAACTTTTTTAAAGGTTCATTTTATATATAAAAACCGAGTTTTGGATATTTTTTCACATCGGTGCAGCACACGTACATCTTAATATTTTTCCGACATATTTTGGCAGAAGCCTTAAATTATAGCAGATCTTATAATTCCGATGGAAAAACAGTACCAATTTTTATTGTA